GGTGGGTGAGGGGTCTTTAGGGTCCATGAAGGTTTTGGGTCACAGGTGATTTTTAGGGCATATGGCTTTTCCAAGGCTTCTCCCAGAACCTCCAGCTCAGTGTTAATGAAGCTGTCTTCCTGATTCTTGTCTAATCAAAGGGCCTTCCAGAGAAAAGGGTGAGAGAAGAGCAGATCTGGGCTTACTGGGAGTACAGAGATCTCTTTTCTTAAAGCATGCTATTACTTTCCACTACTGATTTTTTTTCCTGCTGCTTTTCTCTTCTTTATTTCCCTCTCAATTAACATATTCTAGGGAAGGTAGAGTGCAGATGTGTTTTTGGTACTCAAAGCCATATGAAGCCCAAATGAGTCTTTTCTCTCGTTATAATTATAAGTAGGGCCTTAGGCTATGTTTACTGCCTCTAAAATAAACTTGGTGCTTAGCTTCTCAGTTGCAACACTCTCCAGCTTTTATGAAAAAATAAACAAAAATAAAATGTTATTTTAAATGTAGTGTTAGAAATTAAATAAAATTATCCTCAATAGTGCTGTATATTAAAAGAAAAATTTTGGAGGGACTGTAGTATTACTCAGGAAAACCTCCCAACACAATGATACCAACGAAACAAACTTTCAGTATTTGGCATCTGGTGATAGCTCATCCTATTATAACTATTTAGTCTACATTTTTCAAAATATATATAGAGTGTGTGTGAAGGAGCAATGTGAGACAGTCTCTGTTGCTAGACTGTTGTAGGTACAGTACCCAGCTTTCCCATATCCTACTTGTGCAGCCATGAGGCAACCACTTAATTTTTCTGTGCCTCAGTTACTAGTTCTGTAAAATGGCAATCATAATAGTAATTAACTCAGGGTTACTGTGAGGCTTAAATGAGTAGAAAAAAGCCAAACCTTCAAAATAGAATCTGGCACATTACTGTTTTTTTTCACGTTCGTGCACTTAATTTTTTTAAGTCAAGTTTATTAGGGTATAATTTACATGTAGTAAAATTCATCCTTTCTAATAGACAGGTACATACAAATCATGAGTTTTGATAGGTACATACAAATCATGTAGCCACCACCACAATCAAGATGTAGGAAGTTTCTATTTTCCTTTAAAATTCTCTTGTGGGGAATATAAAAATAAAAAAAATTAAAAAAAAAAAAAGAAAAACAATTCTCTTGTGGTCTTTGGAGTCAGCCCCCTCCCTTCCCGACTCAATCACTAGTTTGTTTTCTGATTCTATATGTTTTCTTTTACAGAACATCATAAACAGAATTTGTCATGTAGACTCTGAGTCTAGCAACTCTCACGTAACACAGGGGTTGTGGAAACCTTTTCTCTAAAGAGTCAGGTAGTAAATATTTTAGACTTGCAGGCTGTACAGCCTCTGTTGTGACTGGTTAATTCTGCTGTGCAGCCATGGACTATGCATGAATGATTGGGTGTGGCTGTATTCCAATAAAACTTTGTTTTTTAAAACAGGTGGCAGCTGGAAATTAATGGGACAGCATGATTCATTCATGTTGTCATGTCTTCTCAGTGGGTTTGTTCATTTATTGTCAATTTTATCCCATTGCATAGATGTACCACAGTTTGTTTAGTCATTCAACCGCTGAAGAATCGTTGTGTCTTTCCCAAAAATTGTGAACAAAGTGACCATAAACGTTTGCCTACAGATTTTTGTGAACACAGGTTGTGATTTCTCCTGAGCAATTACGTAGGAGGAGGATTGCTGGGTTGTGTGGTAAAGTGTATATTTACCTTTATAGGGCAGTCTCAAACTGTTTTCTCAAATGGCTGTATCATTTTACATTTCTACCAGCAATATAAGAGAATTTCAGATCTTTTGTTTTCTCACCAGTACTTTATACTGTCCAGTTTTTGTTATATTTAAGTGACTCCAAAAGATTACGAAGAAACCTTGAAACTAGAATAAAAATGCTTACCTTTTACCTATATTGAGTTGGAAGTCTTGAAGGGCTGTCCAGATGGAAATGACATTATTTGGGTTTTAAAATGATTACCTTAGATGCAGTGTACAGAATGACTCAGAAGGAGGCATGGGCAAATGTATTGACCTGCAGGGAATGTCAATTTAGTACAGGGGAACTTGAAGTGTGGTAGTGAAGATCAAGTGTCTAGATATGAGGAATTTTTAGGGGGTGGAATTGATAGAACTTTTTAGGGGTTGATCGTTTATGGTCCTTAAGGGAGTGGCACAAGCAACTAGATATTTAATGGTACCTTTACCAAGATGAGGAACTTTGACAAGGGAAAAGGCTTAAGGGAATGAGGCCATTAGTTCAAGTTTGAGATATTTGTGACACATGCACATGAGGTTCCAGGTAGGTAGTTTGATATCTGGGTCCTAGAGTATGGCAGGAAAATTGGAGGCCATTGTGATATAAGAGAGAATCTAATCAACTGTGGTGGAGGATTTGGTGGGGGTTTGGTGGTGGATGTGGTGGTAACATTCATTTATAGAGATATGAACCTATACCCCTAAATCATATATGGTGTTGTAGACCAACATTACCTCAATAAACATAATACAAAAATCTCGAAAAAGTTAATGAATTACATTTAAAAAGATATATGATGATATGGAAATAAATATGAGAGAGAGAACTTTCAATCATCTGAGAAAAGTGTCAAGAAGAACCTCAGTGTTTCATGTTGAGAAGTTTAAGGAAAGTAGGAGAGAGTGGTTCAAAGAGTCTGGAGAGAAGGAAGAAGAGAAGGGAGTAGTAGTAGGAGGAGGAGAGACACAGACACAGAGAGAATGAGAATTAGTTTACTAAGATGGTTACCACGCAGATGCTGAAGTAAGTGATTGCGTGGTATGACAACTAAAATGAAGGTTGCAAAGCGCTCATTGGATTTAGCAGCAGAGTGGACTTTAGTTAGAGTTGGTGTGGTGGTGGTGGTGTGAGAATCCATTTTAGAGTGAGTTGAGTAAGTAGGAGGTGAGGTAGTAGAAAAAGTTAGGACATACAGTTCTTTCAAGAAACTGTTGGAAACATGTGTGAGGTGTTTTTTATTGTTAAGTTAGGGTTCTTGTGAGAAGGAGGAGGTAGGGGATTAAGAAAGGAGAAATAGTGTGATCAATGAGATATCCACAAGGCACGAAATTCACCTTTCAGATCAAGCATTTTGCTGATAACGAGATTGAGGTGGATTTAATATTTATAATTATGACCTGTTAGCTGAGTGAAATAGGGGGCTTTTAGCATTATCAAGTTTTAATGAGTTATATTATAATGTAGTTCTTAAATTTATGTCTTAAGTATTTCTAGAAAACTTACCAAGTAGAAAATGTCAACAAAATTCTTTTGATGTGTGAAAACGCTCTCACAGTTTAGTTACTTGTCAAGCTCTTGTCCAAGTCCTACCCATCTGTTACGGTCCAATTGAAATCCTCAAAGGAAAGACTCTCCCTCCCTCATTTTTATGGTCATAGCCCGGTGCTTCCCCCCTCTATTTTGACATTTTGTTCTCTCTGTATACTTGTTATAGAATGTATGTGTATGATCAATTGGAAGGAGCATACTTTTTATAAAAATTAAAAATCATTTATCAGAACAATCTCTTCCACTGAGCTATAACCACCTATTGTACAGGTTTTGACCTGGTGGTTCAGAGCTTCATATGTGACTCCTACAGCAGAATGGGAAGCTGCCATTATGGACTGTGCTGATTCTGTGATTTATTTATTTTATTTTATTTTTTTTTAAAATTATTTATTTATTCATACAAGAGCTGGGGCATAGGCCAGAGATGTGGGGGGTGAGAGGATTCACCAGAGACAGAGCCGGGATCAGAACATGCAGACTGCCTGACTGAAATACACTGCTGAGGGGAGCAGTGGGTGAGTCAGGAGAGGTCTGCTGTGCCATATGGGTCACCTCCCTGGCTAGGGATCAAACTGGTGCTGCGGGTGCTGTGGTGGCTACACGGATTGCTTCATAGGTTGCGTTTTAACCCCTTGTGCCACCAGGGAGGCCCTGATTCTGTGATTTAAAGGAAAGAAAATATAGGCCACATAACTGTGGATAACTGACTAGAATTTATATACTAGCTGTTTAATATAGTGAACTAAACTGTTTAATATTGTAGTGAACTATACTACTTGTAGCATTTTGGGAAAAGCCAGATATTTATTTACTTCTGTAGACTTTTAATTCTGACTTTTTTTTTTTTTAAAGACCAGCATCCTTTTTTGTTTAACATGGTAAGTTTCATTATAATGAAAGAACTAGAACTAGAGCTAGAACTAGGTAAGGTTGTTATCACCTTTAGGGGCTATAGCCGGTTTTAATTAAAATACTGTTAAAGCATTTACAAATCAAAGTAGTGTATATTAAATATATAAAATCTATACTTTTATGTTAAATCATTTAATGGGAAAGCATCTGAAATCCTTGAAAATTATTCGTTATAGCTGATAAACTGGACAATAATTTCTGTTAAACAGATTTTTTAAATTATACTGAGTTAAATTTATAGATCCCCAAACTCTAGGATATATTATTATCAGGAGAATTAAGGAATGAAGAACATATATTTTTAAGAAATTGCAGAAAGGCATAATATGCATTTTCTCTCCTTTTTTTTCAACGCTTTTAAATGTTATTTGAATGAATTACTGCTACTGGATAAAACACTTCCTTATGTTCTCCTATAAATTGTCTTAGACAAGGTATTTGGGAATTGCTGTACAGTGTGGGAAATAATTGAACTTGACTGCATATAAAATTAAAACAAGCAGTTGAAATATTGAATCTGAAACCAGGTGTTCCATGATTAAATAATTGTGATTCTTGAGGAAAAAAAAATACACCTCCAATCCAGGGGCTTTTTTTCCTTCACAAAGCAGTTACTCTTATAACTCCATGTGAAGTGGACTGTGGTCTAGCTCTAATATTACTTGTCTTCATTACAAATTTTTATTGTAAAATTTGTTAAATTGGCATTTGTTAAACAGCTGAAAATAGTTTGCTTTTTAACATCAGGTGAACCTGGCCTATGTTGAAGCAGCAGAGTACGTTTCAGAACCTATTAATAGGGAGCCTCCTTCCAGAGAAGCTCAGCTACTGACTTTGCAAAACACAGCTGAATTTGATATCCTTGTCATTGGAGGAGGAGCAACAGGAAGTGGCTGTGCACTAGATGCTGTCACAAGAGGTAAGTCCTGATGTAGATGGAAGAGCTCTAATAAAGATTTCTTCTCTCATATGTTCTCTGTGCTAGTAAAGTCACATGTCTATTGTGTTTCCTAATCATCCAGCCTTTGCAAAGCACCTTAATATTTTTTAAATATAGGCATTTACACCATTTTAAAATGAAATATAGTGGTTTTTTTTTTTTTTACGCTTAAATGAATTTATATAAATAGGAAACTTTATATTCCTGTGAACTCATTGACTTGATGCTGTGGTTTTTTTTTTTTCCAGACTCTGTTCTTTATTTTTTTCTTTTTAATTATTTTTTAAATTTTTTTACGTCATTGTTCTTTTTTTTTTAATTTTTTTTGTGGGACCCTCGCCAGCGGCCGGGGAACGAAAAGGCGCTGCAGAGGCTGTGAGCAGCCTTGCAGCCCAGCCCTCAACCACTGCGCCACCAGGGGAGGCCCCACATCATTGTTCATTTTTAAACAATATTTGCTTCCCCCAACCCCCTCAGGTGTAGTCCCCATAGAGTTTCCTTCACCAGTGCACCCGTGCACCATCACCTCAGTCCCCTGTGCTCCTCCCTCCCTCCCTTCGATCCCTCTCCCGCCTCCTCCCCTTGATGTTGTGGTTATCGATTTATATTTTCTAATGTAAGTACATTTATAGGAGATAAAATCACCTACAATGACTATCACTTTTAGCCACATGTGTAGGTAAAGAAGTGATTTACTGAAATAAGTTAATACCTTAAGATAATTCTCTTTGTTTCATTATCTCTTAAAATCTTCTATTTCCTTGAAATACAAACCACAGTTTGAAAACTACAGCTCCCTGAGAATAGTAATGGAAAAGGTAGTTGCTAATCTTTAGTTCCTGTCTCAATCACTCTATTAGTCAGCATTATGAAAGTCATGATGAAAAGTTCTTTAAAAATGAAAACATGGGGCCTCCCCGGTGGCGCAGCGGTTGAGCGCTGGGTTGCGAAGCTGCTCGTGGCCTCTGCGGCGCCGGTTCGATCCCCAGCTGCTCCCCGGCCACCAGAGGAGGGTCCCACATGGCGCACAGACCTCTCCTGCCGCCCGCTGCTCCCCTCAGCAGTGTACTTCGGTCCTTCTGCCTGCTCTGCTTCCCGCTCTGGCTCTGGTGAATTCTCTCACCCTCCCGCGCTTCTGACTGTACCCAGTGCATGTATAAACAGAACAAACAAACGAGTAAATGGATAGATAAAACATGCCTCTATAAAAAAAAAAAAAAATGAAAACATGATATATAAAGAAAGAAACTTAGGGGATTGAACAGCATGTGATATATTTAGTAAAATAATTTGTAACTTTTGCCTGTGGCTATTAGTGTGGAGTTTGGGGTCTGGGAAATCTGGGTTTATTCCTGGCTTAGCTGCTTGATCAGATGTATGTATGTATGTAGGTATGTATGTATGTATGTGTGTATATGCACACATGTAGTACTTGGACAAATTAGTTCACTATTTCTTTACCTTTCAAATAAAGAAAAAAATACCTGGCACTGGTTGTTATGAGGATTGTGTAATCATGTAGCGAGGACTTAAAATAGTGCTTATCACAAATTAGAAGTTCTCAATAAATTATAGATCGTATAGCTGCTGTTATTAACATGAAAAGGCAAAAAGACTTTTCGACCCAGTTGTCTTGGAAAAATATACTTTGTGGTGTTCACAGATGTACACAGGTCAGAACTGCAGCAGTATATTTGAATTATTATGTATGTATTGTGGTATTATATTCAATGGTAATAATTCTTTTCCTATTAAATTATCATTACAGTCACCCTGTATTTATTTACCTTATATACCTGGTAGAATTTACTCTAATAGAAATGAAATAAATTTCATGAGACTTAGGTACACACAGACAAAAAGTGCCCTAGATTTACTTTGATTGTGTAGGACCCACTCTTAAGTTTTGACTCATCTAGATTTCCTAGCATAGCCTATGTCCTTTTTGTCAATTCTAAATAATGGTAAGTTATTCAAAATTTAGGTGCCGGAATCTATTCATTGCCAGGAAGACCACAATTTTTATATAATTGTATGTCTCCATCTGTGATTTATAAAATGAGTCCATATTATTCTTGGACATACTAAAGCAGATGGAAAGAATAGTTACAGTTTTGTCAAAGTATTTGAACTCATCTCTCCCCTGGAGGCCTGGGGAGGGGAGAGAGAGAGAGGACATACTATTCTCAGTGTAATGGGAGTTCTTATTTGGGATTACCTCAACTTGTCCTATGACTACCCTTGGAGTTAGAATTTACCAGGTGACAATTTTCTGTGTGTCAAAGGGGAACATTTCCTCAGTAGGATTCAAAAAAATATACTTTTTGCTTTCTCCTTTGTACTGGTCATGCTGTTCTGAAATATACAGTATTTCTTTTTTAGTTCTACAAATATCCACTGAAATGTCTGCATGGCAGTATGTGAAGTCATGTAAGAAAATACAAAGATTATCGCTATGTTTAGGGTGCTTGCAGTTCTATGATGCTTGTTTGTATAGACTGAATTACATAATAGAGAATAAACCTTTTGATAGGTTGGGGTATTATGGACTTTTATGGACTTTTAAAGGTGAGGATAACCGTATCTTCAGAGAGTGGTCAGGAGAAAAACAGCTGCTATTTGGTATTATTAGCATTTAATTATAGCTATAATTTAATCAGTTAAATATTTTGTTGATGTAACATTGGTTTAAAATATTATATAGGTTTCAGTATTATAATTTAATACATATGTATACAATTTTTTGATCACACCAAAAGTACAGTTTCTATCCACCACCATACCGTTGACCAGTTATCTAACTTACCCACTCTCCTTCTCTTTTCCCTCTGGTAACCACCACTTTTTCTTGTAATTTAAAAGTTACTTTTTTTTTTTTTTTTTTTAAAGATTTATTTATTTATTTATTTAGACAAGCACTGGGTACAGTCAGAAGCGCAGGAGGGTGAGAGAATTCACCAGAGCCAGAGTGGGGAGCAGAACAGGCAAACTGACGAAACACACTGCTGAGGGGAGCAGTGGGCGGCAGGAGAAGTTTGCGCGCCATATGGGACCCTCCTTCAGTGGCCTGGGAGCAGCCAGGGATCGAACCGGCGCTGCAGAGGCTGCAGGCAGCTTCGCAACCCAGCACTCAACCGCCGCGCCACAGGGGAGGCCCCTAAAAGTTACTTTTGTTTGTTCATTTATTTTATCTTCCACATATGAGTAAAATCATAGGGTATTTGTCTTTTTCTGTGTTACTTATTTCACTAAGCACAATACACTGTAGGTCCTTCCAGGTTGTCACACGTAACAAATTTTACCATTTCTTATGGCTGAGCAGTATTCCATTGTCTATATATGGCATATCTTCTTTGTCCTACCATATGTCAGTGGGCATCTAGGTTGTTTCTATATCTTGGTTATTGAAAATAATGCATATGTCTCTTAGAATTTGTGTTTTAATAGTCCTTGGGTAAATACACATAAATGAAATAGATTTCCATTCTTACTTTTTTGTGTAATCTTTATATTGTTTTCCATAATGGCTGCACCAGTTTACATTCCCACCAGCAGTGCACAAGGGTTTAGCATAGTCATAGAATTTTAATAGGAAACACTGCGTGCTGAAAGTCTCCGAGGTATAATGGAGGAGAACCATCTGAAATCAGTGTGTGTGTAAGACAACATGTTTTAATTTGGAGTATCCAGGCCATGTAAGAGAGAATAAGAGAGAAGAGTGGATAGGAATGGGCCTAATTAGCTAGGGGAGGACCTTTGGACTTTATTGGAGAGGCCACTTGGAGATACCAACGAGTTAAATTTGGTGATGAGCATTGGCTAGGCAGAACTATTCCTTCCTTCCTTTTGAAAAGTCTCACTTATACTTGCTTCTTTGTACTTCCTAGATTTATGTTTTAAAAAACGTAGACAAGGTCATACCAGTTACTATCTTGCTGTGTTTCTTTCAAATAACAGTATATTTTATCAGTCTGTACATGTGTATCATATTCTTTTTTTAACAGCAGGAAAATTTATCCCAATACTGTTTGGGTTAATGATTCATTAGGTTGTATCCAAAAACCTTTTTTTCTATCTAAAATTAATACTGTTTGTGAGTCAAATACTGAACCAGCTCTGAGACTACAAGATTAATAAGATGTGGCCTTGCCCTCAGGAGCTTATAGTTTATTCATGTTTGCTGAACAAATACTTTTTTCCTTTGGGCAGTGAAGGGCATTCAGTAGTGATTAGGACATGAGCTAATGCATTAACATGGTTGTGGGGGATGATGATGATGAAGAGGAGGAGATAAGAGGTTCTAGAGCCTGAACACTGACCAGATTTTTGAATTTATATATAGTTAGTAACAGCTAAGAAAAATAATATACTTTTAATATCTCTTGGCATATTGATTTCTGTCTTTTAAAATAATTGGCTGAATGTCTCATTTTATGTATATGGAACTATGATTTAAAATGGGATGGATAAACCTTAGTTTGTATTTCTTCTATTATGCTGATAGCCCTCTGGGGATACCATTTATAATTAAAATGTATAGAGATGCTGAAGTCAATCTGTATTTATCCTTTTACTACAATTTCTGATCATATCAGTAGCCCTCTGAAGTGTGAAATAATCATGGGCATTTGGTTAATGAATTGTGCATTGTTGCTGTTCATTCATGGAATTTGCTCTTTTATTATATTTGATGCTTCAGTTAACAACAAATTTTGCTTTCTCTGCATTTGATATGTTTTTACCAAATTATTCCTGATTGTATCCATTAATCTTTAGTCACATTTGACAAAAATAAATTACTGTGATCTTTTAAAGTTACCAGTAATAATTAGATTTTTCAGGATATCAAAGTTTTGGGGGAGCCACTAGATGTTAAAGGACTTGTATAAAAATGTTTGCATATGCTTTTTGATAAAATTCAATGCCCAAGTGCAATTTTGGTAATAGATAAACAAAGATAATAGAAGAAAAAGAGAAAA